TATAACGATTTCTTTTTCAGTACTATATCGCTAGCTTCCGAGAATTTAGATTCTATTGGAACGGAAGTAGAGGATAGCGAGAAATAGTCTCTAGCAAGATTATAAATAATAGGTAGTCTAACTTGAATAGACCGATAATAGTCGCTAATACTTATATCTTTAGTAATACGAGTTTCGCTTAAATAAGTTGTACCTTCGTCTGTACTTAATAGATTAGTACTACTAGTATTTTCTATTAGAAATTCCTCGTCGCTATCGTATTCTCTATTAATAGATTTAGAACTACTAGCAATAGTATTTTGCGACTCGTTTTCAATTATTGTTTTATTAAAGGATTGAATATATTCTTCCTTATATATAGCGACTTTTTCTTTAAAATAATCCTCGATTTCTTTTATTAAATTAGGACTAAAATTCATAATAGATGTCTTAAAAACGCCTATTTTATATCTAGGATTTAAGGTTGTACATATTAGTAAGTCTTTTAATTTATTAAAGGTCTTAGACTTATTATTATCTTCTATAGTACTTATATCATCTTGGCTTATAGGATAATATTCTAATAGTATAGATCTAGCCTCTATAAGGCCGTATTTAATATAAGGATTATCACTATCTCTAATAACAGCTATTAAACCATCTATCTCTTTAAGAAGTCGAACTATATAAGGGATAGTATTCGATACTGTTTTATATTCTCTAGCCTGAAATTTAATAGTAGTACTCCTAAATACTTCTAGTATATTTCTAATATTTTGTAGATAACTCCATTCTTCTTCTAGTATAGTAAATTTATCTAGTTTAAGAGTCTTTTGCTTGCTTTTAGATAGTTTACTAGCGTCGGCTAATACACTATTAATTTCATCTTTAAAATAAATAAATCTATTAAGCATAGTATAAGTAGAAAGCCACCTAGTATCGTTATCTCGTAATAATTCTTCGGGGCCTAATTTAGTATTATTATCCTTTTTGTATTGTTTAACCTTAGCCGCAAAGGTATTCTTTAAGAAGGGATTATTTCTAAAGCAAAAGATAATATTTCTAATAATACTAGGAAGTAGTTTAAGAGATTTATAGAACTCGTAACTAGGATTATTTTTATATATATTATCTAGGTTGTCTTTTAGAACTTTAGTATTATTACTAATAAAGTATGTATATAATAGTATACGATTAGAAATAAGATTAAGAATATGTGCTACGCAACGATTACCTATAATAGTATAGCCGTACTCTGTTTTATATCTAGTAGATATATCTTTTACTAGACTATTAACGGGACTAGCGTTATCTCGAGTTACTCCGAATAGACGATTACCAACTCTAGTATCTTTTATTACTTTATTAAAAGCAGTAAATAGTGCCTAAGAATTATAGATAGTATAGTCGTTTAGAAGCTCGAAACCGATTAAATAATATTCAAGTTTAAATTCTTTATTAATAAAATGTATTGTAATGCCTAAGAAGTCTTTATTATTAGACTTAGACTTCCATTCGTCAAACCTTAACGATAGGCGACTATTATTCTTTCTTAAAATAGTATATATAGTTTCTATTTCGGTTATATAGAAAGTATTAAAAGCCCGTCTAATAGTTTGTCTACTAGGGAGACTTATTTCATTATTTAAATATGTTAGAAGCTCTATAAGACTTGGGCTATTAGTAATACTAAAAGGTAGATTATTATTAATAATAAATAATAGAAAAAGGCGCGTAAACTCCTCGTTATTAAAAAATCCGTAGGCTTTACGTTTTCTAGGATTACTACTTGTAGTACTTAAATTAGAAAAAGAAGTAGTAGGTTTAAGTGTTTGGGTAATAAGGGTTTGTGTAGTACGCTTGCTAGATTCGTCTCTAGTAGGTCTAGAAGTAGACATATTAATAATAGACTTAATATCTATAGTAGGATGCTGTTTATAGAAATGCTTGTCTAGATTATCCCAATTTATTGGCCATTTAGTTTTATCCCAGACCTTACTACAACTAGTACATTTTAATGTAATTGTTCGTGGTTTATTATCCTTTTTAGGATCTAATTCCCAAGTTAAAAGGCGTTCTCTAACTCGAATAGGTGCGAGTTCTAGAGGCGGAAGTTTATCGTCTTTATTAGGATTAAAAGAAGCCTTAGGCATTTTGTTATATAATAAAGCGGGTTTAAGATATAAATAATTAGTATATATCTAATAAAATAATAATATCTAAGTATTATAGTATATAGTAATAGTAATATTATTTTCTTTATAAAAGTTTTTTTAAAAAGAATTTAAAAGTTTATATTAGTTATAGTAGTAGTAGTAGTGGCAGTATATCTTATATTATATCTAGCTACTATAGAGTATTAGATACTTAGTAGATAGATATAAAGTTGTTGAGATAAAAGAAGTAGAACTAGAGAGGAAAGAAGCGGATATATATATTTGAGTTATAGCTAGGAACGACTTGGTTTAAGGTTTATTATAAGCTTATAAACTTGTAAACTTATTAATATATAATTTTACAAGTTTATAATAATATGAAGTTTAAAGTTATTATAAACTTATAAACTTATAAGCTTATAAACTTATAATATTATAAGTTTATAAGCTTATAAGTTTATACTGCCTCGAAATTTTAATATATAGATTCTATTCTTTCCCTTCTTCTTCTACTTCTTTTCTCTTTACTATTAGCAAAATACAAGCTATCTCTAGACTACTAAACTAGTCTATAACTATACTATCTATACTTCTACTATAGAGTAAGTTTTACTATAAAAACTAGTAGAGTTTTAAAACTAATTAATTATTATAGAATGGCGACTACTACTACAACCTCTATTACTTCAAATACTATACTTAGTAGTATTAAAGAAATACGAATTAATCCTAAAACGGGCTGTATGCTAATATCTAATCCTATAATAACTAATATAAGCTAATAAAGATTATATAGTACCTTTTACGCAAATTGGGCGCGCGGCAAAGGCACCTACTATACCGACGCCTATATATAATAAAGGCACTCCTTTTAAGCCCTTTATAAAACGTAAAAAACAAGAAGTTTCTATCTTTATACCTCGAAAGAAGAAGACGGTATTCTATCCTAAGGCAGAAGGTTTTAAACCGGATAGCTTTAAGTAAGTCTATATAAGCTAATTATAATAAAATACTAATTCCTAAGAATAGAATGCCTAATTATAGAGGCTATACCGACTACTATACTAAGGATATCTATAGGGTGTCTAAGAATTAAGAAATAGAGAGCTAAATGTTTATATATTATTAATAAATTATAATATAAGTTATATATTATTAATAAATTATAATATAAGTTATAATTTATTAATAAATTATAATATCAATTATAATTTATTAGGAATTATAATATAAGTTATAATTTATTAATAAATTATAATATAAGGTATAATTTATTAAAGTCTTAGCTAAATAATTAATCAAAATTAGTAAACGATAGTCCTTTTTTTTAGAAATCTAAAAAGTACCTATTTTTAAGTACAAATTTCTATATCTATAAAATACGATACTTATTAAAATTCATATTTCTAATACTATATACTTATAAATCTATATAGTTATAAAGTAAGATATTTATAAGGTTATAGAGTATAGACTTATAAACTTATAAAGTATAAACTTATAAACTTAGGAACTTATAAACTTCTAAACTTATAAACTTATAAACTTATAAACTTATAAACTTATAAACTTATAAAACTCTAACTTCTAGAACGATAGAGATATGTACCTCTTCCCTTTCTCTCCTATTTTAGAAAGTTATTACTACTACTATTAGTAGAGTAGTACTACTATAGTTCTACTATAGTACTAATACTACTCTAGTAATAGAATTTCTTTCTATAAATAGATAGATAGATATTTCATTTGCCTGTTGTAGTGCCTTTCGGCCTATATAGGTCTGTTTCTATATATTGTTTTGGGTAGGAAACCAACTTAGTTAGTAAAAACCTCCCTCCTGTCCTATTTATAAGTATTGATCTTCCTCGTTTCCTTATTTTCCTTCCTCTAGGGTATACTAGTGTTATAGTTGTTACCCTCTAACTACCTTGCCTGCTGCCCTGCCCTTCTTTCCCCCTCTTCTTCCCTCCTTCTTATCTACTCCTTAGTTTCCCTTACTAGTGCGAATTGTTATATAAATCCCTATTTAATAATCTACTTTACTATCCTCTTTAGGTCTTCTTTACTCTAGATTAGCTTGTCGTATTCCCTTTCTATTGCTTTTAGTCTCTAATTACTTCTACCTTCTAACTATTAAGGGCAGACTAGTAGTATATGCTTAGGGTTCTAAGATTAGTAGCTATATTAGTAAGCTCTACTTTCAATTCCTAGGACGTTTCTTCTAAATAGGTAAGATCTAAGTCTAATATGTTTAGATCTAATTTGGATAGCTAGGCTTGCCTCGACCCTGTTTAGGTCCTTATAGAGCTAGTAGTTGTATTAACTAAATTTGATTAGTGCCTTTAGGGTTCCTAGTCTAACTTATGTTTTGTTCTATTCCTGCTCCTATAGGTATCTAGCAATTGATTCTACTAGGCTTTGTTTCTCTCCCTTTAGCTTGTCTTCCTTTAGCCTTATATTTAGTCCCTAAAGCTCTTTCTCTAGCATTTCTCTTATTAAGACTCTATATTGCTCTAGGTCTTTGACTTTCTAGGGAGTGATTTATAGTCTATCTCGCCTCCTAGTCCTAATGTACTAGGCTTTTATCTTATCTAGTGCCTTTTAGATAGTCTATTAGGCTAGGTATTCTATTGTCTTTACTATATATTAGTATCTTAGTCCCTTAAAGTATTGTTTAACTAGTAGGATCCCTGATTCCATTTCTACTACCCTTATTAGTATAGTTTTGTATACTCCTAGGATTTTCTTTAGGCTTTAGGTTTAGGACCTACTAACTAGTTACTCAATCCTCTTTAGTGTTTTCTTTTAGGCTGTCTATATCTGTACTCTATATAGTATTGCTAGTTTGATAATTGCTTTATATATAACTTTAGCTTTCTCGAATGTAGCCCCCTATATAGAGGCTATAAGCCTATTAATAGATTGTATATTAGCATCTGCCCTCTGCTTTGCCTTCTTTACTTATAGTCCCTAATTTAGTTTTAGATCCAGCTAGATCCCTAGTACCCTATGCTCTGCTAATAGTTAGGTTTTAAAGCCTTAGATAGTAATTGATTGCTTTATATTATAGGTTGATTTAGCCTTACTAAAGTGGATGAGCTAGTACTTTTCTAGGGCGAATTTTGCTCTATACCTCCTTACCTATTTTTTATACTCCTAGTGCTTCTCTTCTAGGATCTTGCAGTTAGTTTCTATTATCTTAGACTAGGCTAGGATGTTTGTATTATCTATAAACCCTAATGCTAATATGTTTTTTAATTCTAGGAGTAGGAGTAGGTCTACTATAAAGATAAGGAAGAGGATTAGGGAGAGTGTTGATCCTTAGGGGATTCCCTTTTCAGTTAGTATTAGGTCTAATTTGAATTTGCCTAGAATGAGCTATATTAATCTTTCCTATAGGAAGGACTAGATAAATTGGACTATCTAGTTTAGTATAGCTTTCTATTTAAGTATATATAGGAGCCTTTTATAGGAGACATTATTAAAGGCTCCTAAGATATCGAGAGAGAGGAGGGTTGCTACCTAGTTTTAACTATAGTGCTAGATATACTTAATCTATTCTATAATTAGTTCTATAGCTGTTAGTATTAACCTCTTCTTTCTTCCTCCTATCTAGCCTTTAGGAAGGATGTTCCTTTCCTCGGTAAAGGTTGTTAGCCTTTTAGCGACAATCTTTTCTAGCACCTTACCTATTGTATTAAGTAGGGCTATTAGTCTATAGGCCTTAAGCTATGTATAGTCTTCCTTCTAGGGCTTCCTTAGTACTACTATTAGGGACTTCCTAAATAGTCTTAGGTAGTGTCCTAGTACTAGGCTTTATAAAAAGATATTAGCTAGTGCTAGGGCTAGCCCCTTCCTATATGCTTTTAGAAGTTTGTTGTAGATCTTGTCTTCTCCTAGTACCTTATTACCTAGAATTTTCTTTAGGATCCTTTTAATAGTTTCGGGTTTGACCTAGGTATCTCTTAGTATGCCTAGTAGTAGAGTCTCTTATTCTTTCTCCTTTATATCTAATAGGTCTGCTTGTACTTTTCTATAGAAGAAGTGTTAGCCTAGGGCTCTTACTTTCCCTTCTATTATAGTCTGTATTTATCCTTATTAGTCTATAATATCCGGGAATTGTAGTAGTATATCCTTGTCCTATTTAGGTCTCCTTGCCTATTTAGCTATCCTCTATATCTCCTCTAGTTTCTTTGTAATTATTCCTATTATAGATCTCTATTCTTGTATCTTGTCTTTCTTAATCTAGATCTTCTTTTCCTAGTAGGCTTTATTATAGTTGTCCTATGCTTCCTAGGTATAGGTTTGTGTCTACTACCTCCTAGCCTTCCTTGCTACTTTAACCTTCCTTATATACTTACTAGTCTAGTATAGCTGCTAGTATAGTGAATGTTTCTTTGCTAGGGTATGCTTTCTAGCTACCTGTTTTAGGATTCCTATTAGTTCTTCTACTGCCTTATTAATATCCTCTAGCCTTAGTAGGTGCTTTATTAAGAGTTCCTCTAGTTTTGGGTCCCTTTCTAGTTCCTCCCTAATCCTTCCCTATTATACCCCTTTCTAGTTGAGCTTCTCCTCTAGTTCCCTTTCCTAATTAGCTTAGACATTTAGCTCAATCTGTACCGGGAAGTAGTCTAATAATTCCTCTAGTTCCTAGTTAACCCTATATCTCGTAATCCTATTCCTAATCTAATACAATATAAAGTATAGGTCTAGTATACTACTGCTTCCTCTTGCCTCCTAAGTAATTAGTCCCTTTAGGGTAACAATTTCTATTCCTTCCCTCTCTAATATATTAATTAGTCTTCCTGCTAGGAAGTAGTAAGCTAGGGTAAAGTCTAAGCCCTAGAGGGGGTAGTAGAGGTTGAAATCCCTAAGTAGGATTTAGTAGGTATTCCCTTAGATAACTCTAGGTAGTCTTTCTAGGGTTTTTAGTTAGGTACTGCTTCTTAAGTCTAGTAGTAGGTTATATATATAGTGGACTTAGAGTATACCTTAGGATGTCTCTACTTAAACTAATGTTAGGTCCCTATCCTCCTATAGTATAGCCTACTAGGTTTCTGTATCTATCTCCTTGCTAATGTAGATGCATATCCTTAGGGCTCCCTAGTTGTAGATAATTAGGTAGTATCTTAGGTCTTTAACTGTTGCTAGTCTCTTTATATATAGGTTAAGCTAGGGCTCTTAGATTGCAATAATATAATGTTCTTTTAGGTTTAGTACTTAAAGGAAGCTCCTCTATACCTTATCTTTGCTCTTGTTAATATTATACTATATAATGTTTAGTAATGTTGCAATGTTTATTAGGTTTTATCTATTTCATTTCTCTATAAGTTTTCCTTTAGTCTTCCCTTACTTTAAACTAATATTTGACTAAGCTTTATCTGCCCTGCTTCCTTTCCTGCAATATTAAGGTATCTTAGTCTCCCTAGTTGTTAGTAGCTCTCTTATGCTAGTAAGGCCCTAAATGTAAACCTATTATCTTGCCTAGACCTCTTTTGTAGCACTTAGCTAGGTTGCTTCTACACCTAGCTGCCCTAGCTTATTGTGTATCTTTTTAGTGTATTGATTCTAGCTTCCTTTACCTTCCTAGCTGCCTATATTCTTACTAGGTATTCCTTCGCCTAAGAGGGGTATCTTTTAGTATAGTATGCATATCTTACTTCTCCCTTATATGCTTTGTATTCTTTAACCTAGTAATCCCCTATATAATAGGAGTAGGTATCGGTTGTCTTTATATACTTAGCTGCTAAGTGTCTATAGTATTGACATTTAAAGCACTACATTATCCTATAGTTGCTTCTATATATCTCTATTTCTAATCTTTTAAAGTCCTAGAACAACCCCTAGTCTAGCACTATATTAGCTTGCTCTACACTCCCTACCTAGATAATTAGGGAAGACTGCTTCTTAGTCTCTTCGATTTTCCTTTTAATCTATACTACTTTTGTAATCTTTAGGCCTAGGTATATAGCTTGGTTTTGTCTCTATAGGCTCTTAATATCCTATTCTTCCTTAAAGCTTCTTATTATACTATAGGCTATAATTATAAATTGCTATTAGGAGACCTTTGCTATTTTCCCTATCTTAGTTATCTATTCTTTTTGTATTTCTAGCTTCTTTTTGTCCTGCTCTTATACTATAAATAGCTTAATTACCCCTTTACCTTCGTTCCTAGCCCTAATTACCTCTTTAACTACAATTCTTTCTATAATCTCTTTCCCTATAAGTCCTTAGATTTCCTTTTGCTCCTATAGGTCCGTAATATAGACTCTAACTACTGTCCTCGGGGGTTTTAGCGCCTCCTGACTAGCTACTGCTGCCTAGGTACGGTAGTTTAGGCTTATTTCCTATTGTTTCTTCGTAATCTTTACTGCGACTATATCAGCTACCTTTGTAATTACGTAGCTTGCCTAGTTGTGGATTGCTTTCAGTCCTCTAAGGAGTTCTAAGATTATTATCCTATATGCCCTCTTAGGGGTTCTTCTATCTTCCGCCTTTAGTACCTCCTCTGCCTTCGTATATAGTGCTTTCTATTCGTCCTCCCTTCCTTCTTAACTATCTTCCCTTCGTCTCTAATTGTTCGCTGCTATTTTCTCATCCCTCTCTTTCTATAAATACTTGTTTACTATTTATGTTATACTCTAAAGAAGTTAGAGTATAGGAGAAAAAAAACCAATCTATAGTTATTTAAATTATAAATTATTATTTCTTCTAAGAAGTTAAGAAATCGGCTTTAGGCTTTTTCTATTTATTATAAACTTATAAACTTATAAACTTATAAACTTATAAACTTATAAACTTATAAACTTACTAAAAAGCCTAAAACTTATAGAAGAACAAAATATATATATCTCTATCTTTCCCTTCTAGATTTTTTTTATAAGTACTACAATAACGATAACAACACCAACAACAACAACAACTACTACTACTACTACTACTACTACTACTACTACTACTACTACTACTACTACTACTACTACTACTACTACTACTACTACTACTACTACTACTACTACTGCTACTAGAAAGTAGTCTTAGTAAAAGAAATATTTATTATATAATATATTTCTAAAATCTAAAAAGTAAGAGTTCTTTTAAAAACATTTATAAGACTAGTACTAATATTAATATTTAGAATGCTCTATCTTAACTTTACTATCTATTCGACCTATTTTATTAACCGGTTTATTAATAAGAGTCCTATAGTTAAATCTACTCGAGTAGATAAGACTATAAAGGCTATTATTAATAACTACCGAGGAAGTAACGAACCGACTATACTTAAAATTATCGAATACCTTAATAGGATTCGAATTGTCTACTTTATTCGACGGATTAAATATATTAATAATGGGGAATATCAGAAGATAAAAGGTACACATCTTTCTAGTTATTTAAAGGCTATTTACTAATATTTTATAGGCTTTGTTTACAAACACGACCCTAGCTTTATTAATAAGCTTAATCTTCGAGATTATATAAATCTCAAAAAAGATAATAAAGATCTAGTATCTATACTAGATTCTCTTAATCAGTATCTTATAAGATATTCGTTATACTTTAACGATACTTGTAAGTTATAATTAATATTAATAGATATAAGCTAATATATTTTATATAGGCCTTATTAAGTCTTTTACGGCTTTAAATATTATCGATACTATTGACTATACAACTATAAAAGAGAATATCTCTAGTAAAAGAGATTACTATCTTAAAACCGATATTTTAGAAGACATATACCTTCTTAGTAGACTAAACTTCTTTAATACCGAATATAACGAGACTAAAAAGCAACAAGTCGAAGACTACCTTAATAGTACTTTAAAGGAGGAACTAAAGAATATTACTTATACTATTATCGATAGTATACTATATCCTAATAATACTATAGAAGAGGAGAATATTAGTACTAAAGAGGAATTAATAGATCTAGATCGAGAGGTTGAACTAGACTACTCTAGCTTAGATTATTTAGATCTAGCCTAGATAGTTAGGAGAGTTAGACTTAAATACTAGAAATACTAGGAAATACTAGAAACTATTATTAAACTATAACTATACAGACAAATACTATCCAAATTAAATATCCTATCTAAATATCCTATCTAAATATCCTGTTTAAATATCCTATCTAAATGTCCTATTTAAATATCCTATTTGGGTATCCTATCTAAATATCCTTTCTGAATATACTGTATTTGTGCTTGTTTACTTATCTATTAAAAAAACAAATTAATATATATATATATACACAAATAAGTATATAGAGAGTAAAATTCAAGTTATTAACCTAAACTTACTTCTATTGTATAGTAATACTGAGGTATAAGACAAAGAAGCATTAAGAGAATAGTATAGTAAGAGAAATAGTAATGTAGTGATTACTATATAGTAATTACTATCTATATTACTATTTTCAAAATCTTATAGTAATAGTAATTACTATTACTATAGTAATTACTAATAGTAATTACTCTGTCCCTATAGTAATTACTAAAATAGTAATTACTAAGGTTTGGACATCACTGGCATGAGAGCAGCTTCGGCGAAAACTCTATACGAAACAAATCCTGACCTTTCTTCTACTCAGCTCTCGCAAACAGACAATACCCTCGCACCTCGTCGCAGGCTCCTGGAATGCTTCAGCTTATGCCTGTTTACTTCGCTGTCACTTCGAATCGCGATTACGTGCCTCGAAAACCCCAGGCAGACCGACAGTGATCTGAGACCGTTCTCGAGCGCAGCGCGTACGTGAATCAGACTACAAACAATGCATTCTGAGACAACAATAGAACAAAGCAACCAGGCTGCGAGCCACGTGCATGAGACACACCAGACGGTAGGCACTACGGCATTTAGAACTCAGCTTCCTTTCTCCTTTCCTCCTGCACGCATGCAACCACGCTCTCCCACACCCTCCCAGCAGACAACGCGATGGTGGTGCAAACACGCCAGCAGCGACAACGACAGCTCAAGAATCAACCAGAGCAAACGGAATCCGGGCCTCATCGGCAACCACAAAGCCAGCAAAAGCCTCCACCACAGCAACCACCGCCGCCGCCGCCATTGCAACCTCAACAGCCGCCTCCGCCTCCCGCACCAACTCCCGAACACCCTATGCGCCGCTTTGCCAGAATGATGAGAAACAACCTCCGCGCCCTCACGATCATAGCCTTTGCGGTCTGCCTCCTTGCCTACTTCGGGTGGCGCGCGAGGAAAGTCGCGCATCGGCCAATGTTGGTGATTGTCGAGACAATTGTTATGCCGAAGGTGGATGAGGTAGATGGGCGCTTTGTGCGGGAGACGATTCTGCAAACAAACACAGTACACATGCCGTAAAGCGCGAGCGCGGGCAAGGAGTGTACAGTGATGCGGCGCCGCGCTGCTGCGTTTCTGCAGAAGTCTGACTTCGCGCTCGACTGGGTTATGCATTATGCGGTATGCGGTATGCAAGCTTGACTTGACTTGCAAGCTTGACTTTGCAAGCTTCATTTCACACTATGCATCATGCAAGCCTGACTTCAATCCTATTCTAGCCCTTACCTGGCATACAATTCTTCTCTCTCCAACCTACAAAATGCATTCCTTCATGCTCCCATCTACCCTCTCCTTTTCCCTACCAACGATCTCTTCCTTCTGCGCGACGCTGACTTTCGTGACCTACCACAACCATGACGGATCCGGACAACCTGCTACAGCCTTCCCCAACACGCAGACAAAGCGTGCCACCACTACCAGACAACTCGCTGCGTACCAATCCCGTCTTCCTGAGAAGTAGTTTCTCCTCCAGCGGAAGCGAGTCTTCCTTCTTGCCACATTCTGCCAACATCAACGCTCCAGGAACCGTATCTCAGCGTCCCGTCTTGTTCGGGAGGAAAGGCAGTCAATCCTCTGAGGTCGACAATGATGAACGCCGCAGAGGAAGGCCAGGAGCAAGAGCAGGAGCAAGTGATGCCGAGCCAGCCGACCGTAACTCTTTGGACGTCCAGGCGGAGCCGTATCATAAAGGACCGATCACCCCAACTGCACCATTGCGCATCTCGGCCAGCTTACCACTCGTCCGACCACTTTCTTCCCAGGCAGGGGTGAGGAATCCAGACGAACGTGGTTTTGTTCCGCCATTCTCTTCTTATGAAAGACCGGTTAATCCACAAGGTGGGTTTAGCCGGCGTCTCTCGCCCAATGTACGGCAGAAAAATCCGGATGATGGCTTGAGCGCACCAATCTCTTCCAATGTACGAGTAAACAATCCTGACGGTTGTTCTCGCCCACCACTCTCTTCCGATACCGCGGTGAATAATCCAGATGAGCATGGCTATCTCCGCCGACGCTGTTCAGATGCTGGACTGAAGAATCGAGATGAACGTAGTTTGGCTCGGCCATTCTCTTCTAATACAGGAGAGGCCAGTCCAGATGAAGGAGATTTTCAGCGGCCACTCTCTGCCAATGCGGGACTGAATAACCCAAGAAGTGGCTTCCTTGGTGGCGTGAATGTTGACCGATCTAACACGCGCGGGCAGGCACAGCAACGCCGCCCAAGCTGGGAAGTTATATTGCGGCCTTCGGTACGCCAGCTTCGGCGCCGCTATTCGGACAGTACTGGAGAACCGCGAGCCTTCTTTCTTCGTCCGCAGTATGGAGAATCGAGCAAGCCTCAAGATCAACCACATCAGAGTAACCTTGACGAGATTCTGCATCCCATACCACGCCCTTCGTCCCAGGAGCGACCCAGTGAAAGCGAAACGCTGCCCTCAAACAAGCCTGGTCGCCGGCGCCAATCATTCTCAGGGATCTATCCCTATAACTCCTCGCTATCTGCTGGCCAATACACCCGTCGGCGAAGAGTCCGCAACATCTTCAGTCCCGAGATTCTGTGCATTGCAATCATAATTCTCGCCCATGTCCTGGGATCTATAGCGTCTGGAATGTTCTACACTGGCCGAACGACGGGAGGACACGATCGAGGCGGCCAGACCAGCCTCCATGCCACACGACTCCAAACCCCACCATTCTCCAACACATGGTCCAACAACTCATCCTTCTCCTCCTCATCCTCGCAGCGGAAACCCAAACTCTCATCCCTCGCCGTCGTATTCCCATTACAAGCATTCCGAAACGCTCAATGGGAATCCCTCGCATTTGCAGAAGAAGACGAACACTCACACCCACCATTGTTCTCATCTTCAGCTCCGCCAATAACAAAATTCTCAACCCTCGGTCTCTCAAATCTCGCGACGATTTGTCCCTTCCCATTCCCTTCCACCAACACCGTGATGAAGAAGCGGAAAAAGAAAGATCAGGATAATGATGATGAATCTAAGATTTGGATTTGGATGAATGTTGAAGCAGGAGGAGGGGGAGGGGAGAGTAAGTTCAGGAAGGCTGCGATGGAGATTTTGAAGGAGATTTTTGCGCTTTCGCTTGCTCAAGATGAAGATGGTGGGATGGGTGGGATAGGTATGACGGAGTGTAAATGGGAGGTTTTAAGGATATTGGAGTTTTTTGAGGAGGTGGAGTTGGGGTTTGGAGGGTGATTTATGGATTGATGGATGGTTCAAGGTGGGTGGGGATGGGAGGAGGGCGTGAGGGCGTGAGGGCGTGAGGGCGTGAGGGCGTGAGGGCGTGAGGGCGTGAGGGCGTGAGGGCGTGAGGGCGTGAGGGCGTGAGGGCGTGAGGGCGTGAGGGCGTAAGAGCATGGGAGTCGTGTATACCTTCGCGGTCTATGACACGCTTGGGAGGTGCTTTCAAAGCTGTATTCCAGCATTGACCGGTCTTGGGGATTTTGTTATCGGGATGGCAGTTTGGGGATGAGCAGCAAGAAGATGATCAGCAAGCCGATGATTGCTGCAGAGGCGTGAAAGACTCGTATGAAGAGTTTGTCGCACTCCTTGGATCAACCCTTGTTCATCTAGCAGATTGGAGGGTGATCAGCAAGCTGCAAAAGCGTGAAAAGCTCGTGTGAAGAGCATGTGGTCCTCCTTCAATGAACGCACTTCTTTCCCAGGAGTCTTCGAAGCCAGAGTTCTGTCCAGTCGTGCGGTGTGTACTCCAGGTGCCGTTGTGATCGTCCGGCAACATTTGTCATGTCGTGCAAGGTTATCATAGGGTTCATGTCGAGAACATGGTATCATGCAGTGACTTTGTAGAATGGCTGGCTTATCCAGCTCACGTCATTTCGTGGGAGTGGTATGGCTTTCATGTCTTGCTGCCCGCCTTTAGCGCACGATGTCACCTTCTACTGAAACCAGCCCCTCCAAGGCAGTCCTTATCACTCGTCTTGCAGTCCCTGGAGCTGTTGCGGCTGCTACTGTACTCCCTCCTCCACTATGAATCGCTTCGTCAAGCTTTGATCTCACTTGGCCCATGACATGAGTTCCGATTGCCGCGGTAAATGCACTTCGTCCCAAGACGTACTTCTCCCTCGGAGATTCACATATCCTAGGAGGGGGGAGAGAAGGGGAAGAAAAGGCCAGGCTCATGATCAACGACACGAGGGCCTTCTATTCCGTCTGAAATCACACCCCAACCAAGCAGTGCCAACTTCGCGACGGACGAGGCACGAATTGTGGCACTCTTCCTAATCACTAGAAAGTCCCTCTGACTTCTTGCACCTCTACAGCGCTTGCTTTGCCTTGTTGTTCTTTCCCCCTAGCACGATCGTTAGCATAGTATCGTCTCTGGCACAGCCCTCGTCGGCCCTCCCATCGACAAAGTGCTAGGACTCTTTGGTGCTGGATGTTCGATGCTCGATACTACACCACAGCCATAGAATCCGTTGCATATCTTGAGCCTCGTCTTGCCTGCTTTGGCATAGAGAACGTATGATACGATCGCTGGAGAAGAGTTGCAGCTTCTATAGACTTGTGTGGACTGTGGCAAGGTACCTTCGTCATCTGGGTCTTCCGCCACAATGTAACTACGTTTCCTCGTCTGCGGTACCTGAAGAACCACGAATGACTTTCCATCTTGGAAAGGTCGGCCGCTTTGTCTCAGAAGGACAAGAGTACGTTCATCTGCTTCATCCTCGAACTTTCATTATTATTGGCTCCACCTGTGGATGTGTTTCGTTACTCAGAGCCTCGTGCATCCCAGTGACCAAATTTTCCATTTGTACTTAGTAGATGTCTTGACAGAGGGCGTTGGAGCTCCCGAGTTCAATATAAGTTCTTGAGGTCTTAACATAGCTGCCCTTTTCCTTGCAACGCGGGAACCTGTAACGCCAATGTGACTTCTAGCTAGGTCGGACGACGAGTCGCTGTCTATCTCTGCACATTCTCAGCTAGCAAAACTGTATGCAAATTCGAACTGACCAGGTTGACGTTGGGATTGCATATACGTGTGCCTCTACATCCTTCTTAGGCGCAAATGTACATGCTGTTGGGTGCAGGCCAGACGCAGGCGGGTGTGAAAGATACACTTTCTTGAAGATGTAATACAGCCTCGCAATGTGCAAGTTCAAGACTAAATTCTGCGGCGAGAGCGATCTCGTGAGCTGCTCCTGCAGCAGTATATACTCGATGGTCACATCGGGGTAGCTGTGCATAGAGAGCTGCGTGATCTGCAGAAAGTCTATTTCCTTGTCAGTGAAGGTGAGCAGTATCTTGAGGTCAAGAGAGGACACCATCAACTGCGACCGTTGCACTTACAGGCACCCAAAGAGGCATGTCTATGCCTTCCTAGGTTGTCACCCAGATCGTGACAACCGAGCGCGATCGTGACAACCAAGCCCCAAGCCTTCCTAGGAAGAAGGGCCCTCGCATATAGCCTTCTGTCTCACGCAGGCAGCCTGAAAACCCTCTCATATACGAGAATGCGGACTGCATTGAGTTCGTCCGTTGTCACGATTTCAGTGACAACCAAGCGCCAACCCTTCCTACGATCTAGGTGTAGCCTATATTTACAAGCAAGAATATAGTTAAGTCCTCGAGTATAGCTACGAACGTAGCTAGGCTTACGACCGAGAGCAAGTATATAGATCTATTTACTGCTAAATACGCTCGATACTAGTTATAGTATAGAGTCGTACCTAAATATATTCCTAAAGGTACCTATACGTATTAGGGAACGTAATCTCGTACTAATACTAGATCTTAAGCAAGACTAGTACTAGAAGACAAATAAGCTCGCTATATTAAAGCTTACTTATATTAGGAGAATATAGCTACGTAGGCGGTAGCTAGCTTATTATAGTAGTATATACGTTTATCTCCGCTATAGTAGTCTTCTTAGAGTAGTACTATTCCTAATAGTACTAGATATAACGAAGTAGAAGCTATTATACGGGCATCTAGATACATTTATATAATAGTCTTAGGTAAGTTTCGGGTAACGGCTATATCGAGAAACGAAGCTATATATCTCTATATACTTACGGCCGGTACCTATAAATCTATAAAAGATATTTATTTATTAAGTAAGAGGATAGAGCCGAATATATCTATAGCTAAACCGCCGGGGCCTAGTAAAAGACGATTAGAGGAGTAGAGCTAAGGATTAATATACTCTATTAGTCTCGCCGCTACTAAGTATAATATACTTAAGATATAGATAGGTCTTCTTTTTAGATTTTATATATTTAGCGAGGCTATACGGGTATAGATACTAAAATTACTCTATTCTAAAATGTTATATAACGGCGTTATACTTCGAACCTAATAAGCAGATCCCGGAAACGAGTATTTTTAGTCTATAGCCTATAATTTAGTCGATTATAGATGTAATTTAGGCTAAGAATATTATAAAGAAAAATTAGACCCTAGTTAATAAAGCTTAACGTCCGTTATACGCAAATACTAGTTTTAAAAAACGAGATATCGGACAAATAGGATTCTCTACTATGCTTAACGATATATTAGCTAGGGCTAAATAATACAAACTAGTCGTTAGACTAATTCGGACGAAATCCTAATCGGGTAGAGCTTAGGACGTTAGGAACTTTATTAAAGACCGCTTCTTAGTATCTAGTTAATTAAACTACTACTATTAACTAGAATAAGAAAACGCTAGGCTTAGATAATGTCTCTAGATAGCGTCTCTAGTAGGTATACTAACTCTTACTATATAGTATTATATAGAAGTATAGGCTTTCTCTAAAGGAGAGCTTAACCCTCCGGCTACCGGTTATAAGTAAGTAACAAACTAAGTAGTCGCTTACTACTAGTCGGTAGGTTACGACGTCTATAAAGCGTTACGCTAGGTTTAAGATAAGAGCTCTTAGAAAAGTACTTACCTATAATTTTAACGAAGGCTTGTAACCGTTATTAGACTACTACCGTAGAAGCGTAGTAGGGTACGTAGGTAACTATATACCTATACGAAGAAATATAACTATATAAAGAAGGTTATAAATAAGTAGCTTCTTAATTGCTACTTCTTGTCGACCTAGCTATATAAGCCCTAGATCTATACTATACTTATTAATTATTAATAGGACGCTAGATAGTCCTTACTTAATATTATTAAGAACGCTATATTAGGTCGATATAAGTTACAATCGAGTAATACTTTACTAATCGGCCGTATCTTGCTCTATACTACGTAGCTAGGTATAGTGTGGCCTACGAGTATATTAGTTTAGTACGGCTACGAACGCTTTTTAAGATATAATAATATCTAGCTAGGTATATACGAATCCTACGGAATTATATTTAAGATATCTCGACTAAGCTTTAACGATAGTATAAAACATAGCGCTCGGTTTTTACTTTTCTTTATTATCTATATACTACGATAGCTAACCCTAATGCCTTACTCTCCTACTATCTAGAATCCTAGTAAGAGAAAACTAGGTTTCTAGGAATACTATCGTTAACGATATTAGTAGTAGAGAAACTCTTATTAGTAGATATTCCTTATTAACGGCGGCTAGGATATATCGTTACTTATATTTATAGAATAGAATTTGCCGCTTGAAATAAAACTTCGAGGTAGACACAAGCGTAAACGCTTACTATTAATCTATTATACCTTTCTAAATAGCGTATATATTCTCTTACGAAAGGAATTCTTACCTCCTCTTAATAGCTAGACGTACTATTATTTATCTCGTAGATACGGTTTAAGTAGCGGATATAGCGTAAGGTAAAGAGATCGGTAGCTAACTCCCTAAATCTACGGTACTTTTACTTTAATTACACTAACCTTATTAGTTATACGAATTAGCTACTACGTACGATTAAAGTCAATCTAACTCTAAAGCTACGCTAAAGTTATATAATAAATAGCACCGTAGTATATCGGGACTAATAATCTACTATCCTAGGTTAAATATTAATAATAGCCCTATAAGTCTCCTTACTAGCTATTACTATATCGATTTGCGATCCCCTAACGCTACTAGTTAGTATAGTAGAACTATATAGCGACTCCCTCTTTCTATAGTACGACGTCTATAGAGGTAAGGAGATAAGTCTAAATAAATATAGAAATAGAAAGAGTATAGATCGCGACGCTATTTACACTCTTAACCTTAGTAGTAGTCTAAATTAGAATAGTAGAATTCTTAAGTTTCCTATCCCTTTTATATAGGAAAAGTAATATACTAGTACTACTTTCGGTAAGTCTTTATTAGACCCCGTAGTAGTTCGGTTTACGAACTATGAAACGTATATAGTTTGGTTTCTTAGCGGTACCCCTATAGTTTAGTACCGGTTTAGTTTACTACCCCGCTAGTCTAAACTAGTTTCCGAGAAAATCTGACTAAACTAGGACGACCTCGGATCGAGTCTAGAAGACGATAGGGCCCTATATTGCATATACTATACGATTGTATCTATATTCTAGGCTGTTTAGACGTGTTCTAGCGTGTTTTAGGTCGGGTTTTTGTCTATAGCCGGCACGTAGCCGGCAAACCGGTTCGTATACCGGTTTTATAGCAAACTAAACTAAACTAAACTAGAATTTCGGCTTAGTAAACTAAACTAAACTAACCCGAACTACTACGGGGTCTAGTCTTTATAGTATTCCTATTATTTGTCTTGCTATTTACTTAAATCTATATTGCTACGTACAACTATTAGTAGTAGGTACTATAGAGCTTCTCGGTATTCTAGTATTAAAAGTCTATAGTATTCGCCGTAGTTTTAGATAGTACTCGAAAGTGTCTAGTTTTTCTAGGAACCTAGAAACCGAGAGCTAGAAGGTTCTTTAGCGAATACCGAAGATAGGTAATATTACCTACTTAATATATAAGAGGCTTCTAGTAGCTATTCCTAAGCGCCCTATTACCTTTTACTAAGGTCGTATTAGCTTAGAGTTAGGTTAAAAGGCTAAATCCTATATATAATTTAGATATATATATATAAGCTATAAGCTACGCTCGCGGCTATAGTAAAGCGACTCTTATGCCTTTTTCGCGATACTAAACTAGTTACTAGTAAAACAAACAGTTACCTCGTTTAGCGATTTAGTTATAAACTACCCTCTAGATCTAAAAAACCCCTAACTCTAACCTCCGTTTCCGTATCCTCGTCGTAAGCTCCTTAAATACTCTAACTACGCCTTAGAAATATCCGGCTTCGCTCGGGTAATAATACTATATATAGGTCTAACATTGCTACGATATATAACCTAAGAGAGTATACTTATATAAAGGGCTACGCCCTAGGTAGAAGATACTAGCCTTAGGCATTCGGCCTATACGATCTAATCTACCCCCTAGCGCTTAGCGTACTATATAGAATTATTCGGATTTACGTAGATCGAGTTAGCTCCTTATCGAACCTATTAAGTCTTATACCTAGTATCTACGTACGCGTTACTTCCTTAAAATACTTATATTAATTAATAGCGTAGCTACTAATCTAGATACTACGGTAACTGCGTATAAAAAATTAAATAATCTACTAAGACCGAAAGAGTTACGTAATAATTTTAGTAGAAGTAATATTAAATTAAAGATTAAAGGGTTATTTAACTTCTTCCGGATTTTAGTATAGAACGTTAATCGAAAGCGCTTAACGATCCCCGGATATAAGCGTAGTATATTCATAAAAATCTAGTAAGAGCTTAACGTACTACGCCTACTACCTACGAAAATCTAAGTTATTCGCTAAGACCGAAATAATACGTAGTACTTTAGGAAATTTAGTAAGAGCTTAATATACCGTGTTACAGACAGGCTGGAAGCTAGCCCTCTACAACCAGGTCTTGGCATTGATGCCTTAGGTATCAACTCGATATACCTAACTTCCGCGTTTACGAGAGAACTTCCCTCTCTACGCTTCGTTAACTATAGCTAGCGACTAATATTATTCATTCACTTACTCGTTCCCTAATAGTACGAAGCGTCTACTAATACTACTAAAGCCCTTAGGTTCTCGCACCGGAGGCATACCGAGATCTCGCCGCTTAGAAGCACGAAACGAAGACCTACCTATTACGATAGGCGCCGTGGCACGCAGGATCTATACGCCGCACGCGCCAAACTCTATTAAGTAGAGCTCGTAGTAATTAAGGATCTACCGAGCCTATTAAGAAGTCTACTAGTATATTGTATACGTCGCTATAGATAACGACGTCTCGCCTCGCGGTACCCCGAAGCTACTAGGCGAATTCTCCGGTGCTTAGCAGCAGGGTTAGTAATACACGATTAGTGATCCGTAGTAGGCTCCGCTATCTCTATAAGAACGTCGTACTAGCAATGTCAATATTTAGACTATTCTACCGACCGCCGAACTACTCGCTTAGCTATTTCAGTCGTTTAATAGCGAGCTTACGTACCGACAGCTCTATCGATACCTCTAAACATATAAAGCACAGTTGCTTTAGCTCGAGAACGAACGCCTATCGGCAGAGAAAGAGCGTAACGATGCAGAGACAAGAGCCCTTACTATAGAAGCCGCCTCCGTAGTAGAAATCAACTAAGCTTAGACGTAGGCTAAGAACGACGTAAAGGTCGCGAATAACCGCACTGCATATCTCTAGCAACAATAGCGGCAGGCTTAGGACGAGGTAGACCGCTTAAACAACATAATCCTAACCGGGGACAAGAGTAAGGGTCTCGGCTCGCAGTAGAAGCCCGACAAGTCTAAGAAGATGCTAGACCCCGACCCGTACGATAGTAATAGCAAGTCCGCATTGAAGACGTAGTCGATCGCCGTGTTTCTTAAGCTTACCGCCAACGCTAACCGCTTTCCGACCCTGTATTCTAAGCTCTCTTATATGTATAGCCGTCTCGGACCTAAAGCCCGTATTGTCCTTATTCCGTACGTTAAGATTAACCGGACAAACGACTAGCCGCGCATCACGTTTACGCTCGATACTATTACGGCCTTCGAGAAGGTTCTTATAGAAGCATTTAGTAACACTAACGAAGAAGGCACTGCCTTAGCAAAAATAAGGAGCTTAAAGCAGGGCGGCAAGGACTTCGCTTACTACCGAGCCGAGTTTAATACACTCAACGCTATTGTAGGTTATAATAGTCTTACTTATAAGGAGCAGTTCCGTGCGGGCCTAAGCGAGGAATTGCGTAACGAGTAGGCTCGCTAGTGGGATGCCGACCTACTTAACTTTAAAGATGTTTATAAGCGCTTAGAAGCACTTAACTACTCGATCTGCAAGCGTAAGGCTGAAGTTAAGACCTCTAGCACAACTCACAGCGCCTTTAGCTCTAGCGCTCCTTCCGGCGGTAATAGTAGCGGTAACAAAGCTAACGCCGCTAGCTCTTTACGTCCTGCCTCCGCTCCTTAGGCTTAGTCGAACACTAACCCTTAGCGACGCCCTTCGAACACTCTAGCTTAAGCTACTCTAGGCGCTAGTAGCGCTCCGCTAACGACTACGAATAGAGGTAATGCTATAGACCTCTCAGCTATTAATAGCAATAGAAAGCGCGTACCGCTTATATAAGAATAGCGTAATAAGCGCCGTCGCTTAAACCTCTACGGATACTACGGCAAAGGCGGACACTAGAAGAGCTATTGCCCTAACACTCGAGAAGGCCGTACCAACCGTAGCGCCAATATCTCCGCTATAGCCGCCGGCAACCTAGACACGGCTCCGGTACCTAACGACTCTTCTAACAACTCCCGGCAACAGGAAAACTCTTAGTCTCTAAGTTAAGTCGCTCTTAGAGACCTTCTACCGATAGTCTATAGCCCCTAGTCTAGCAACCAGTTTATACCCTTTTAGTCTAGCGTTTAGCATTACAGCATTAGCATAGATACCCGGTACAGTATCATAACGAAAGACACGGCCACGCTCGTAACAATAAGGATACACTTTACATTAGCTCGTTAGCCCTTAGGGCGGAGCCCTTTATACGCTTAGATAAGGAACATTTAGTATTACTATATACACTACAGACAGACTCCGTAACATATGAATCTCACAGTATAGTTGACTGTGGTTACACTAGACACGCTTTTATAGACACTAATTACGCGCACACCTATAACTTGCCTATCTTCGAATTACTAGCTCCTCGCAAGCTTGAAGCCTTTAACGGCACCTCCGCTCCTAACGTTACTTACGTAGCTAAAGCTACACTTGACGTACTCGGATATAAGGAGCATATATACTTCTTCCTTACTAAGCTCGGTTACTATCCTATTATACTCGGTAAACCCTAGTTAAAGCAACACAACCCTCGTATACGCTAGCACAACGATACCGTGCTCTTCGACTCTAAATACTATAAAGAACACTATAATAAACATTATACAATGGTTAGAGTTACTAGTATCACTCCGAGCGATAACCCTATTGTCGAAACTACTATACTGCCGCCGACTAGCCCGCTAACGCTCTCAAAGTTAGAGCTAGAGATAATAGACTACCGAGAACACCGCGATACAAGAAACAGACCCGCTAGGCTAGGCAGATCGACGCCGCCTGTTCCCGCCTTTAGTAAGTCCTACTCGTAGGCCGATCTGTTAGAGGCACTACTCTCTAACTCTAACAACGAGCCATTATATAAGACATTGCCCGTAGAGCCGTTACCGACGCCTCGTATACCGACCAAACTATTAGCAATCGCTACTATGCGTAAAGCGCGAGCTCTCGGCATCTGTACTATTAGAGCCGCACCGTTCGACCTCCTATCTACTAAGAAGGGTTATTAAATCTTCGCAGCATTACTTCGTAATGTCGAACAAGCTATTGCTATAAAGAAGAATATCGACCTAGCTACGAAGCTCCCCGAGTATCTGCACCGTTACCTCCTAACGTTCTCTAAACAAGACGCGTCTATATTGCTACCGTATCGCGCTTATAACTACCGCATAGATACGACGGCTGAGCCGAGATACGGACCTTTGTATTCTATATCTTATAAGGAATTGGAAGTGCTACGCGACTACTTAAAAGACAACCTTAAGAAGGGCTTTATTAGAGCGTCGAGTTTACCCGCTTCATCCCCTATGCTATTCGTTAAGAAGCTAGGTAGTAGACTCCGCTTCTGCGTAGATTATCGACGGCTAAACGAGATTACTATTAAGAACACCTATCCTATACCGCTAATACAAGAGACACTGTCTCGTCTTAGTAAGGCTAAATATTATACGAAACTCGATATTATCTCGGCTTTTAACCGTCTCTATATCGCATAAGGCGATAAATAGAAGACGGCCTTTAAGACCCGTTACGGCCTCTACGAGTACTTAGTGATGCCGTTCGGATTAGCTAACGTACCCTCGTCGTTTTAACATTATATTAATAACACACTAGCTCTATATCTCGATGTCTTCTGTACGGCTTACCTCGATAACGTCCTCATCTATTTAGACTCTTTAGAAGAATATAGGGTTTACGTAGATCGTGTACTTACTGCCCTCGGTAAGGCAGGATTACACTATAACATCTCGAAGAGCGAGTTTAAAGTCTAAGAGGTGAAGTACCTAGGACTAATTGTAATAACCTAAGGTATTAAAATAGACCCCGAGAAGGTTAATGCCGTACGCAATTAGCCTATCCCTCGTAATGTTAAAGACGTCTAGGCATTCCTCGGGTTTGCTAACTTCTATCGACGCTTTATCGACAAGTTCTTACGGTTAGCCCGACTACTAACGGAGCTTACTAAGAAGGAAGACGGCAAATATCGCTTCCAATAGTTAGACAGTTACTAAAGAGCCTTCGACGCCCTAAAGACAGCTTTCGTAGTACAACCGATCCTTGTATACTACGATCCCTCGCTTCCTATTATAATCGAGACCGATGCTTCCGACTACGTTACCGCGGGTATTATGTCGCAATAGTACGCTAATAAGCTCTTAGGTATCGAAGATAGCGATTAGAAGCCTGTAGCTTACTTCTCGAGCAAGATGTCGCCCGCCGAATATAACTACGAGATCTACGACAAGGAATTGCTAGCAATAGTAAAGGCATTCGAACAGTAGCGTAGTAAGCTCGAAGGCTACCTAGAAACGGTTAAAGTCCTTACTAACTATAAGAACTTAGAGTATTATATAACGACTAAACAACTCAGCTGCCGCTAAGCTCGTTAGAGTGAGTTCTTAAGCCGGTTCCGTTTCTAAATTACCTACCGAGCCGGCAAGTTAGGTATTAAGCTAGACAGCCTCACTCGTAGGTTAGCGGACCTACCTATACCTAGTGATACTACGGACGCCCGCATACGAGCTTAACAACGAGTCGTCTTGAAACCTAAGAACTTCGACCCTACTCTTCGCCTGTCCGCTATAACCTTTAATAGCAAGGCCCTCTTCGACGATATCGTAACTGCGAGCCGGAGCGACAAACAAGTATAGCGTATAAAAGAATGCCTTGCTAAACGCCAAGCTCTATTGAAATCTAATAGTGCGCTGTATTAGATGTTACTATTAGAATGTAAGCTAATCTCCGACCTGCTCTACTATCGCGAGAACCTATTCATTCCGGACACTTATTAACTACGGATACGTATCATCGAAGCCTGCTATACCTATCCGATCGCTAGTTATCCTAGAAGGGAATACACCTACGAGCTAATTAGTCGTTATTACTACTAGCTAGAGCTTCGTCGTAATATTGCCTAGTACATCTTACATTGCTACGTATATAAACGCATACATAGTAATCGTTAGCGAAAGCAAGGCCTTCTACGGCCGCTGCCTGTACCTACTTATCGATAGTAGTACATTACTCTTGACCTTATTACCGGCCTACCTCCGTCGGCCTCTAAACACGACGCGATCCTCGTAGTAGTAGACCGTCTTACGAAGATGCGCTACTTAATCGCGATAACTGAGAAGCACACGACAGCATAGGACATAGCGGAGGTCTTCCTCGATCGGGTCTAGAAGCACTATAGCTATCTACAAAGCATAACTTCCGACCGCGGACCTCAATTTATATCCTAATTCTAGCGAGCGCTCTGCTAGTTAACGGATACTAAGCTCCAAATATTAACCGCTCGGTACCCGTAGACTAACGGCTAAACGGAGCGGTTTAATAGTACAACTGAGGCCTATCTCCGTGCTTACGTAAACTATTCTAGTGACGACTAGACTCGGTAGCTTCTAATAGCTGAATTTGCAGGCAACAACTAACGCTCTAACACTATCGGCATGTCTCCTTTCTACGCTTGCTACGGGTTCAATCCGCGAATAGGCATCGAGCTCGATAGTAACTCTAATACCGAGCTAGAAGCAGTCGACTTTGTTAAGCGTATCTATAACTTAGAACAACAAGCTATGCGTTGCCTACGATAGGCTTAAGCCGAGATAGAGCGCACTGCTAACAAGGACCGCCGGCCACACCCTACGTACGTTGTCGGTAACGAAGTCTTTCTATCCCTTCGTAGTATTAAGATAGAGCGTAACCCGAAGCTCGAACAACGCAAAGCAGGTCCTTTCCGCATTACTAAGGTAGTTTTACCGTACGCTTACAAGCTTAAATTGCCCGCTTCAATAAAGATTTATAACGTCTTCTACGTATCCTTACTAACTCTAATGCCTAACTCGTCGCCGCTACTAGGATAGGATAACGCAGCTCCGCTACCCGTCGAGATCGATAGAGAGATAGAATATAAGGTTGAAGGCATTATAGATTCTCGGTAGTTTAGTAGAAGGAAGAAGAAGAAAGGGAACAACCGTAGTTATAATAGCGTGTTTAAATACAAGGTGTTATAGCTCGGGTACGATAAGAGCGAAGCTTCTTAGACAATAGTAGATAACGTCGCGCACGCAACTAAAGCAGTCGCTAACTTCTACGCGCGCTATCCTTACAAGCCGCGACTAGGAGGCAACGGAGACAATAACCTACCTACCTACCCTGTTACTACTATCGCTACTGTCGCTACTACCGCTACGTAGGAGGGGGGTAGTGTTACGGACAGGCTAGAAGCCAGCCCTCTACAACTAGGTCTTAGCATTGATGCCTTAGGCATCAACTCGATATACCTAACTTCCGCGTTTACGAGAGAACTTCCCTCTCTACGCTTCGTCAACTATAGCTAGCGACTAATATTATTCATTCACTTACTCGTTCCCTAATATACCGCGCCTACTACCCGCGAAAATTGTAATAGGGATTAGGTAAGTAGGTAGATAGTATAGCCTAGAGTATATAGTATTTAATAAGGTCTATAAAGGAGGGAGAGGAAGATTAGGAAGTTAGGCTAACGCTAAGCGCTACCTAAGGCACTAAGACCCTAGCTTTACTTAGCCGGTAATATACCTTTTTATATACCCTCTAACAAAAATCTAAGTTATCCGCTAAGACTAAAAACTTTAATAGAAGTAATATTTAATTAAAGATTAAAGTAACTTTTAACTTACTCCGGATTTTTACGTAGAACGTTAATCGAAAGCGCCTGACTAACCCCGAATATAAGCGTAATACGCTAATAAAAATTTAGTAGGAGCTTAACGTATACTATAGACTTAGATATAGCTATATCCTACTAAAGATAAAGCCTACTAACTAGTATAAATATTCCCCTAGCGATAGAAGTCGACCTTTATACTAGGAGATATATTAGAATATTTCTATTATTATTATTGCTTATAGGCTTAAATAATAGGTATTTTATATATCTACATATTTTTAGTAGTAATTAGGCCTATATATATACCCTCTTCTTATTTCTAGAGTATATACCGATATATTAGTATATATTTTAATAAGAAAAATAGCTAGTATAGGACTTAGCCCTACGGCCTCTTAAACCCTATTAGAATACTCGAGAATATACGAGACTAGTTAGATTTATAAGTAAGAGAAGGAAAAGAAAGTTAAAAGATTATTTACTTACGGCTTAGTAATAGCTTGTAATTCTTAGCGCTAGGGTATATAAGTAGCTAGTAAATTCTTTATTTTAATAGCAAGCAACTCTATTAGTTTACTGCTTATCTATAATAGTCATAAGCCCGGACCGTAAGTAAGGAAACGAGAGGTTTAAGGAATTATCCGATTAGGTAGTCTGATTACGTAAGCTTAAACTTTATCCGCTATTACTCTATAAATCGAGAAAAGCGACTAACTTTAAACGATAATAAGATAACGGTTATTACCCCGCTATAATTACTAGCCTCTAGGCGAAAAGAACCGACTAATATAGACTAAACGAACTAGGAATTACTACGATACGACTACTACGAGTCGAGATATAAAACGGCAAACATATCTACTACCGAGACGACTATTAGCGTAGTAAAGGGAATTCCGTAACTTACTACCGAGAACTATACTATCTAGATCGATCTAATTTAAGACTATTTATCTAGATAAGGCCTTTAGATATATTAGGATAGTATACCGGAATCTATAAGCCGAGATCCGGCTAAGCTAAGAGAAGCTAAAAAAAGACGTATAAGCGGTTGCGTTTATTAAGTCTACAGCCGGTGATAAGCGTATATACCTCCTAGGACTACGTAAGACTAAGGAGGTAATCGAAAAAAAATAAAGAAAGTAAGCGAGGTATCGACTAAGGAACGGGTTTTAATACTACTCTTCCGTTTCTACTCTTTTAAGGCCCTTAAGGATATCGATACTACGGCTTTAGCTCTTACGCAAATCTAATCCGAGATTAAGGCCGCGGATAAAAACGAAATTTCGTATAGAGGCCTCTAAGAAGGCAGTCCTTATTTCGTCCTTAGGTAAAGAGTATTCGTCTACTATATTCGCCTTAAAGGCGACTAGTTAGTCTACTCTTTCCTACGAGGAACTAGTTTAACGACTACGGGACGTTAAATATAGTATTACTACTTCTAAAAACGATAAAGTAGTAACCCGATATACTAAGGATTCGGCGAAAGATAAGGCCGGTAATAGAAAGAAGGATAATACGCCTAATACGCCTAATAAAGCTAAAGGAAAGACGTGTTACTATTGCTAATAGGTCGGGCACTTTAAACAGGACTATAGGAAGTATAAATAGAACCTAAAGAACGGAAAAATCTAAGAAAATAATAAGGAGGAATCTAAGATCGTAGCTTAGACGGCTATCGATTCTACGTCTCGACTATCTAATAAAGGGGATTAGATCCTAGACTCCGAATATACTAGATATATAACTAATAAGAAGAACTACTTTACGGACTATAAGGAAGAAACTAGAAAAGTTACTCTAGCAAATAGTAAAACGAGAAAGGTCGTAGAATCTAGTATAATCCTCGTCCGGTTTAAGGGAATTCCGACTACGATTCTAGACGTTATATACGTACCCGAGATCGGCTATAACCTGCTTTCGATAAGCTAACTCTCGGAACGAGGTATTACGACTTTATTTACTAAAGAAGGGGCTATAGTTTAAAGAGGAGATAAAGAACTAGCTAAAGGCGTATATATTAGAAGATCCTATATTCTTAAGGAATCCGGATCTATTAGGACTTCGAGAGTAGCTACTACTACGAATAAAGATACTACGCTACTTTAGTATCGACGCCTAGGATATCCGGGAGACGAAAAACAACGTAATATATATAAAGTACTACTAGGAGTCCCGGAGCTTTCGACGTTAAATAAGTCTTACGAGACTTATATTACTACGAAGTCCGATAGACGACAAAGTCGAGAAGAATACGAAAAGGCAGATTACTGCCTAGATAGGGTATATATCGATTTCTAGGGTCCGTATAAGTATAGTACCTTAGAGGGAAATAGATATATACTAACGATTATAGATAACGCTACGAGATAGCTAGATATCCTTCTTACTCGCTATAGAAGCGACGTATACTAAGCCTTTAAGGCTTGGAAAGACGAGGCCGAACTTAAAACTAGGAGGAAACTAAAGGCCGTAAGAACTAATAACGCTCCGAACTCTATCCCTAATAATATAGACCTTTTAGTAGTTACCTGTTCCTTTACTATTATTCTAAGTATCTATATTAATATTACTATTAGAAACTATAGTTAGAAAAAGCTAGCAATGCTTAATAATAGTTTAGAGTGGCTTATTATAAGTAAGCTTACTACTAAATAGCTTTAGCTACTAATAAAAAGAGATATCTCCCTTAGTTTATAGGGAGTAAATAGGAAAGTTATATTAGTAGGTGCCTACTATAACGTTATAGTAGATACATTCGGTATATACTTTGCCTTTGCTTTTTAGATTGCTACGGACCTAAATATACTAATTATTCTAGGTCGATTATAGTCTCGTATAGTCCGAGGCGTCTAGCGGAACTATAATAATAGACCCTAGGTATAAACGATCGCTAACTAGAAGGGCAACTAGATTGTTTTTATAGGTTATATCGGCTATACTAGCTATAGAATCTACGAAGACATTCTTACTACCTTAAAGCGGGCTTCGGGAAACGTTAGGGCGCGGTTAGAAGACTAACAATCTACGCTAGAAATTAGTATAGCTTAAATAGGTTATATCTAGAAGTGCGTCGAATCGTACGCTAAGGCAAGTTTCTAGACTCTATACTAAAAAGAAGAATACTCGAGGCGATAGCGAGTATAATAATATAAAGGCTACCTAGTATACTAATCTTAATAATAATACTATCGTATATATCGTCGACGGAGGTAAATACTACCTCCGACCTACCCGAAACCGAACTAACTAATTAGAGTACGAGTCTAATACTATTTCCGGGTTACTATTACGAAACTAATGTTTTTGCCGGTATTACAAATTAGGATTACTAACTATATACTTACCGACTTAAGGAGACTTCTAATAAAGTTTATACGCTATTTTATTACGCTAATCTCTAGGCCTAGCGTTAAAGAGAGAGGGCTCCGATAATACGAGCAATTAGTATATATAACCTATATAAGAGGGTAGCTTATAAGATTAAGCCTATAAAGGGTAGT